GCATATCCTACATATTCTTTGTCTATGTTCTGAAATCTATTCAACCATTTTCACCATTTCCTCTACTCCAACAGTCCACATTCAAGGTTATCCTGTGGATTTTATTAAATTCTTCAATTGTTCACAAGGAAATGTAGAGGCCCAATACTTTTTTTGACTTTAACCTTGCAATTGTCCAACCTTCTCCCTCATTCCTTTAGAACCTATTTTCTTCAACATCATGGAGAGAGTTCCTAGGGTTCTTACCGACCTTCCCCCCATCTGCTATTCCACCTGTCTTGCCTGCCCTGTCTTCTTGCACAGGTTCATATGCAATAGATTCTCTGCAGATTTCTCTTTACTTCCCCTTTCTCTGGCACTGGTCACGGTTGGCCACTCTGTTCTTGAAACATACTTCCCGTGTGACTTCACACACTGGCTCCTCTTCTGCATCCTTCCCCCATGGTTGCTCAGAACTTTCTCCAGCACGTACTTATCTTTCACATTCTTCATGCTCTCTTAAAGCAGCCTCAGTACCCTTATACTAATGATTCTCAAATTACCAGAGTTCTCTCCTACAAGATAGAGTCTTATATTCAACAAGCTGGTAGTCATTTCTAACGGGATGTCGCTAAGTATTTTTACAACAATATACATCTTCATCCATTAGATGGCTACTTGAAAGAGAATATATAAAATATTCGAAAGGATGTAGAAAAACTGGAACCCTTGTGCATTGGCAGTGGGAATATAAATGTTGCACCTACTGTGAAGAACACAAGTTCCTCAGAAAACCTAAAAATCTTTACTATGTAATTCGGCAGTTTCAATCAAAAAGGATGGAAAACAAAATCTGGAAGATATCTGTGCACCTATATCTAGAGTTGTCTTATTCATAAAGGCCCCGAAGTGGCAAATCACAAATGTCTATTGATAGATGAAGTAATGGACATAATGTGCTCTATGCATACCACAAAATATTATTCAGCATTTAGAATGAAAACAAAAACTGGGGCTGGAGAGATGTCTCAGTGACTTAGAACTTTTGACCTTACAGCAGACCTGAGTTCAGGTCTTAGCATCCTCATTTGGTGACTCACAATCCTCTATAATTCCAGCTCAAGGGGATTCAAAGCCTCTGGCTCTGAGGGCAGCTGTACTCACATGTGCATGCGCACGTGTGCGTGCGCGCACACACACACACACACACACTCAAAAAAACTTTAAAATGAACATAGTGGCATGTGTCACAACTGGATGGACATGAAGACATTACGTTTAGTGATATAAGTCAATCACAATCAAGCAGACAGTATATGAACCCACTTATATGACCTACCGTTGCCAGCTCAAAGAGAACAGAATTAAAGTAGAGGCAGCAGGAGAGTGTGGGGGCTTGAGTCAGGGACTTAAGTCAGGGGTGGGGGAGGATGGGAATTGTTATTTAAAGGGCATGGTGTTGAAAGTATTTTGATTTTGCAAAATGAAAATTCCAGAGATTGGTTGTACAATATAGTATGAATGGTTTTTAATATTACAGAACTGTACATTTTAATATGATTAAGGATGGCGTACTGGCTGGTTTTGCACGTCCACTTGACACAAACTAGAGTCATCTGAGAGGAAGGAGCGAGCCCCAATTGAAGAAATGCCTCCAGGAGTTCCAGCTGTAAGGCATTTTCTCAATTAAATGATGAATGGGGGAGGGTGCCATCCCTGGGCTGGTGGCCCTGGATTCTATAAGAAAGCAGGCTGAGCAAGCCCGGTGAAGCAAAGCACTAAGTAGCTTTCCTCCATGGCCTCTGCATCAGCCCCTGCTTCCAGGATCCTGCCCTGCTTGAGTTCCTGTCCTGACTTCCTTCAGTGGTGAACAGCAACATGGAAGTGTAAGTTGAATAAACCCTTTCCTCCCCCCACTTGCTTTATGGTCATGGTGTTTCCTTGCAGCAATAGAAACCCTAACTAAGACAGGAGGACATGGAGGTACACACCTTTAATTCCAGCACTAGTGAGACAGAGGCAGGCAGATCTCTATGAGTCTGCAGCCAGCCTGGTCTACTTGGTGAGTGCCAGGACAGCCAGAGCTACATAATTAGATCCTGTCTTCAAACACACACACACACACACACACACACACACACACACACACACACTCACACAATAAATAACTAGATAGATAAATGTGATTTAAATAGTTAATTATCTTATGCATACTTCCACAATAAAATAAAAACAGGTCCCAAACAGAGATCAGTATATTTATTCCTCAATCTTATTCTCTTTCAGTTTGCTAAGTCTCAGTAGTTGTAAAATGAACCAAAAAGCCTTTTGATTGTGTGTGTGTATGTAAAACATTTCAAATTAATTTTCCACATAATGATCTGGAACCCTTTTTCAAAAAACCCACAGGCAAACAAGTTAGTCTTCCTCCTAAAACCCCATTAAAAATTCCCACTACTTAGAACAGAAAGTAAAGACTTGTCTTAGTCTTGTTGGTTTTTCTTTTTCTTGTTTCTTGTTCATGTTTCTTCTGAGAACTTTTCTTCATACATCTCAGCTATGATAATTTAGGTTGGGGGATTCCAGTCTTCTAGTGTACATTCTAGTGATAAATATGTTAAGAAAAACAGCTATGTTAGAACTTTAGCTCAGTGATGTAACAAGCACTTTTAGTGAATGATTCAACTGAGTGTTACATGTCAGTCAATTCTGACAAAAGATTAGCAGAGGTGATGAGTTGGGGAATACCATCAGCTGAAAGGTAGAATTGGAATTTGCTTTGAGAGAGCAAGATTTACCAGGTATAAATTTTTGTACGTAAGGTAGTGGTTTCAACTGGACACTGGATCTTTGCATCTTAGCATGCAGAAATGGTGGGAAATCATTGTAGCTGTCCAGACGAGTGATGACATCGGCTGGGGGAGGGGGGAGCAGCAAGGATGAAGAACTAGAAAGTAGAAGTTTGAAGCAGATCAAGATTTAGATGGAGGAGGAAAGATTGAGAAAAGAGAAAAATTTTGAGTGTGTGTGTGTGTGTGTGTGTGTGTTGTATTGGGGGTGGGGATTGTGCGCTAGCCATAGTGAGCATGTGGAGATAGGAGGAGGACAACTTTCCCTGAGTCCTTTCTGAAAGGGGCCTCAGAGTCAGTACAGAATACACCTAGACACCAAATTCTCAGCACATAAATTTTGTTACCCTCCCCCCCCTCTGGGGGGGGGCACTCTGGATAGGGCCAAGACAGCAGCAGGTGTTTCTTCTGCAGGAGTTGTTTTTAAGGAGAAAAAGGAGAAGTCTGTGTTAGGATGAGTTGGTGACATGTTAGACAGTGTAGCCAAATATTGACTTTTGATTGCTCGACCTTGGTGTTTTGATAGCTGGACCTTGGAGTTTTAGTCAGGCATAAGGAAGTGGTCAAACAAGAGACTAGACCTTGGTGGCTAGCTTTAGGAATATAATCTAACGGTTTAGCAAGGAAGAGGGAATGAGAGAGGGCAAGAACTGTTGGCGCTATGTTCTTCATTTTCTTTTTCTGCATTGAGTCCCAAGGACTGAACTCAGGTCATCCGGCTTGTGTTGCAAGAGCTTTTACCCGCTGAGCCATCTCGCTGGCCCCAGTAGGTGTTTCACGAGGCATGTGTGCAATAGTGCAGTAGATAACGTATACAGGACAAACTACTATGTAGCAGTAATTATCCCTGTTTCCTCTGGCTGCTCAAAGTTGAGGTGGGGAAGTGCCTGTGCGGAGGAGCGTGAACTTCAGGCTAGGTTTTATGATTCCTGAGAATACTTAACTGGAAGGAAAAGGTGCCGTGAGCTGACAGAGACGAACAAACATAACCCAGTTAAAGAAAAGTCTTTTGTTTTGAAACACTGCATGACTTCAATCTTTGTTTGATTTCTCAAAGTGTATGGAGAAAAAAGATATGCCTTTAAAAGAAAACATCACCCGGTGATGCCCAAAGCATATTATTTAAATACAAAATATGTTACTGACTCATAGAAAGCCAAGTATGGAGAGAAACTGTGGAATCCCAGACTTAATCCCTATAAAACTATCTATCAAATGGAGATCCACTCACGGACTCACTTCTTGGATGCTGGAAAAAGCAGAAAATGCCACACTCTCTGGCTTACTATGCCTGGTGGGTATGATGACTGATATATTTAAAGGTGGCGTTTTCCTAAATATTACCCATTATGAATTGTTCTAAATGAGTAGTGTTTTATTCATTCACTCTTTTCTTTCTTCTTAAAAACAGGATCTCGTGTAGCCCAGGATGACCTGGAACTGGCTAACTAGGCAAAGACGATCCTGAACTCCTGACTCTCCTGCCTTCATCTTCCAAGTGCTAGGATCACAGGCTCATTTCTTTTCTATAGAGATATTCCGTCTTAGCTAAGGAAAAGGGAGGAGGAAGGAGACGGAGAGAAAAACAACAAAGCCACCTGTCTTACTTGGATTGTGCAAGGCAGCCTGGTGCAATCACGTGCTGGTTTTCCTCCAGGGCCTGGACAGCGGTGAGCTCTGCCATGTTGACCATCACATCGTTGGTGTGGCCTGGCAGCTGTGGAAGCACTGAAATGATCTTCTCCACGAAGTTGTCTCCATGATGTCCAACTGCTCCTGTTTAACCACACAAGCAAATGGAAACTCAAAGCAGACGGGAAAACATTGACCCACGCCAATAATGCCACCTACACTAACTACTTCATACACTCATCAATTCAGGGTCACTCAGGAGCAACGGGCAAACACTGCACTCCCATAACATTAATGCACCACACCCCCTCCATTTCAGTACTCTCAATACTTGTGTGGCTCACTACATCTACACTAACACAACCATAGGCTATCACTCATTTCACAGTATTAAGTAACTTATGGGCTCATCAAGTAGAAATTTCCTTTTATTCAGTAGTGCAGAGCATTTTCCCGCGGAGAGGCTCCTCCCGCCAGCCCGCGCGCCCGGCCAGCCAATCAGCGCCCTGAAACGTCATCACCGTGCGCACACTTGGACGCGTCAGAGACTAGCCCACGTGTACTATGTTGACTGTCAAAAGTCTCAAGGTACTCGGGATCCGGAAGTTCTGAGTTCTGACCCAAGTTCTGCCCACCAGCCGGCAAATCGCGGCCCCCGGGCCAGCCGGCAAGTACCGAAGCATGAGCGCCGCGGGCGTACTGTCTTTCGCCCAGCAAGGCTGGGAGCAGGTGCTGGCCAAAGTGAAGTGGTCCGTGGTCTACCTGGACGCCGCCTGCGCCGAGAGCCTGCACTGGAGCTGCGGATCACGCCGGCTTCTGGAGGCGGTGAAGGGCCCAGCGTGCCACCTGAGGGAATTTGAGCCCCAGGCACTCGGCGGTGGAGCCCAGCAGCCCCGGGCGGTGTTCGTGTTGAGCTGCCTGCTGAAAGGCCGGACGGTGGACACGCTACGAGACATCCTTCGCCGCAGTCACTTTCAGCACTGTGTGGTGGTCACGGCCGTGAGCCACGCAGTCCACCTCACGGCTAACCACGTACCGGCGGCCGCCGCGGCCGAGCTAGAGGGGCAGCAGCCGGTGTTCGAACAGCTGGAGGAGAAGCTATGCGAGTGGATGGGCAACGTGAACTACACGGCTGAGGTGCTGCACGTCCCCTTGTTGCTCGCCCCTGCGGCTCCCCACCTTGCCTTTACTCCTGCCTTCGCTACCCTTTTCCCACTGCTACCTCGGGATGTCCATCTCCTTAATAGTGCCCGACCCGACAAGAGGAGGCTGATCAACTTGGGTGAAGTGGATGCCACTGCCCTGACCCCTGAGCTGCTGCTGCACATCAGATGCCTGGTGTCAGGCCTCAGTTCTCTGTGTGAGCATCTCGGCGTACGAGAGGAGTGTTTCGCTGTGGGTTCCCTCAGTCGGGTCATCGCTACAGATCTGGCAAATTATGCCCCTGCCAAGAACAGGAAGAAGGCTGCCACAGGCAGGGCGTCCGTGGTCTTTGTGGATCGAACTCTGGATCTCACAGGTGAGTGGAATTTCTAGGAGTTCTTCATCTTCACTCTGCCAGCTACAGGACCTTTTCATCGATACAGCGTTGTTGGCCTCATATTGAGGTTTTTAATAGAAAGATGAACTAAATGAATCAGTTCCTAATTTGACAGCGTCTGGAGTTGTTTTGTCTGGTGGAGGAGGGCGTGGATAGAGACCAAGTACAGTGTGATTTGTTAAGTGCTGTAACAGGGCAAATATGGCTTTAGCGTGCGTTGTTGTTGTTGTTGTATGTTTTAAACAACTGCACTTAGTCCAGAGACTGTTAGAAACGTCCTAATACCTCTTAGTTGCTGTGATAGAGCACCATGACCAGAAACAACTTGGGGAGGGAAAGGGTTCATTTGACTTAAACTTCCACATCATAGTCCCATCAATGAAGGAAGTCAGGACAGAAACTCAAAGAGGGCAGGGACCTAGAGGCAGGAGCTGATGCAGAGGCCCATGGAGGGGTGCTGCTTACTGGCTTGCCCCACATGATTTGCTCTACCTGCTTTCTTATAGAACCACCAGCCCAGGGGACGATCTTAGTTTGTTCTGTGGGACACATATGGTTGAGGGTTGTCCAGTTGTCCTCAACACAGTGAAACCCTGTCTCGAAAAACAAAACAGAAAAATGGAACTGACCCTACCTGTAAGGAGATGGAAAAAGAATTGTAGAAAATACTTTCAAATGTGTATTGATTTATTCTTAGCTCTCATTCTGTTGAAGTTTGTATAGCAATCTCATATCTCAAATTTTGGCAATGTATTGTTTATACGTGCAAGGAATAACTTTGACCTTAAAATAGGTGAAGAAAAAAATGCTTTTTGATATAACATGTGAGCATTTATTTTCAGAGGTCAACTTTGTCCTAGAGTTAAGTAGCTATAATTCAATAATAGTATGTGCTAGCCACTCAGGGCCAGAAAACTGATACCAGTAGGCATTCCTTTTGCAGGTTAGAAATAAAACTTGAGTGATGTTATTAAAAACTAGTAGTCACTCATGGTCCTGTCATTAATCTCACTCCTTCTCTGTGAGTGACCCCACCAAACTCACTGGTTCCCCAAGTTGGACTTTGGTGGAAGCATGCTTTGGTTTGTCACTGATGCTCTGTAAGGAGGGAGTAGCTGTTTACATCTCCCTAGAGAATGAGTTCCTGCACCTGGAGAGGCTATCTCCCACGTGGGATGAGGTCACATGTGTGTGTCGGTAGTGGGCAATAGTCTGGTGAGGTGACGAAGCCGGAGATAAAGGACTGTTTTCTAGGACATGATGTGCTTGCTTAGCCTCTGCTATGTGGATCTAAGATTGACTTATGTTCCTGTCTGGAAATAATCATCTTTGGCATAGTGTAAGCCAAGAAATTTCTATACCCTGCAGAAGTCAGTTTTTTACTTTGGCCATGAGGGTTCCAGGGAATGAAGTCAGATTGTTAGACCTGACTTCTAGCGATGCAAACACCCTTTTCCCCTGAGCCATCTAGCTGTCCCATCTCTTTTTCATTTTAAAATTATGATTCATTTTAAAATTATGATACGCTTTCCTGTAGAAAAGATCGAGTAGACTTTTTTTTTTCTTTTTTTTTTGGTTTTTTCGAGGCAGGGTTTCGCTGTGTAGCTTTGCGCCTTTCCTGGAACTCACTTGGTAGTCCAGGCTGGCCTCGAACTCACAGAGATCCACCTGTCTCTGCCTCCCGAGTGCTGGGATTAAAGGCGTGTGCCACCACCGCCCGGCTCGAGTAGACTTTTTTAGGGTAGATTTTAATTTAGATTGGTTTGTTACTGGGCCTAAAGCTTATAAGTGCAAATATTTCTATTGGGTATCTTTTGGATAATCACCCAAATTATCTTGCATATGGTCAACTTAAAGTTTCATTTGCTGCAAAGATGTGTGACTGTAGTGTTTTGATTCTATATCAGTAATATAGAGATCGTTTTCAGTTCCTAAAAACTTGTATTCTAAGTTATATTGTTTAAATGTTAAAATGCTCTGCACTACTGAATAAAAGGAAATTTCTACTTGATGAGCCCATAAGTTACTTAATACTGTGAAATGAGTGATAGCCTATGGTTGTATTAGTGTAGATGTAGTGAGCCGCACAAGTATTGAGAGTACTGAAATGGAGGGGGTGTGGTGCATTAATGTTATGGGAGTGCAGTGTTTGCCCGTTGCTCCTGAGTGACCCTGAATTGATGAGTGTATGAAGTAGGTAGTGTAGGTGGCATTATTGGCGTGGGTCAATGTTTTCCCGTCTGCTTTGAGTTTCCATTTGCTTGTGTGGTTAAACAGGAGCAGTTGGACATCATGGAGACAACTTCGTGGAGAAGATCATTTCAGTGCTTCCACAGCTGCCAGGCCACACCAACGATGTGATGGTCAACATGGCAGAGCTCACCGCTGTCCAGGCCCTGGAGGAAAACCAGCACGTGATTGCACCAGGCTGCCTTGCACAATCCAAGTAAGACAGGTGGCTTTGTTGTTTTTCTCTCCGTCTCCTTCCTCCTCCCTTTTCCTTAGCTAAGACGGAATATCTCTATAGAAAAGAAATGAGCCTGTGATCCTAGCACTTGGAAGATGAAGGCAGGAGAGTCAGGAGTTCAGCATCGTCTTTGCCTAGTTAGCCAGTTCCAGGTCATCCTGGGCTACACGAGATCCTGTTTTTAAGAAGAAAGAAAAGAGTGAATGAATAAAACACTACTCATTTAGAACAATTCATAATGGGTAATATTTAGGAAAACGCCACCTTTAAATATATCAATCATCATACCCACTAGGCATAGTAAGCCAGAGAGTGTGGCATTTTCTGCTTTTTCCAGCATCCAAGAAGTGAGTCCGTGAGTGGATCTCCATTTGATAGATAGTTTTATAGGGATTAAGTCTGGGATTCCACAGTTTCTCTCCATACTTGGCTTTCTATGAGTCAGTAACATATTTTGTATTTAAATAATATGCTTTGGGCATCACCGGGTGATGTTTTCTTTTAAAGGCATATCTTTTTTCTCCATACACTTTGAGAAATCAAACAAAGATTGAAGTCATGCAGTGTTTCAAAACAAAAGATTTTTCTTTAGACATGACAATAAAAACATATGTAGTCACACCTTTTCAACTTTGTATTTCATCCACAATTCTTAGGAGAATTATTGTTTTTTTAGATTTATTTATTATTCTTATTTGTATGAGTGCTTTCCTTGAATGGATGTATGTGTCCCATGTTTGATGCCCAAGGGGGTTAGAAGAAAGTGTCAGAGCTCCTGGGACTGCAGTTACAGACAGTTGTGAGCTGACACATGGGTGTTGGAACCAAACTTGGGTCCTCTGCAAAAGCAGTCAGTGCTCTTAACCAGCTGAGCCAGCTCTCCAGCCCCTGCAATTGTTTTTTTTTTTTAATGTATTAGTAGTGAAATAGAGTATTTATTTTCTTTATCTATTTTCTATTTTTAAACAAAAGAGGATGTTTTGACATCATAGTTTCAAATCTAAACAGTAATACATTTAAAATTTCCTGTCACTTTAGAATCAATTTTTAGTATCTGAAGTTTTCAGCTTTTCTTTTGGTACCTAGGGTGGGAAGAAACTTGGAAGTTTTATTCTTTGTCTTCTCTCTGCTTATATAAACAATGAGAAACTAGAGCAAGAGCTTGCCTCTCTTCTGAGGTCCTTGTGATTGGAGGGTCCTCAGAAGCTAACAGTTACGTACTTTCTGTGAGCTAAGAAAAATGAGGACACCAAAGAAGATGGACCAGCATTCCTGTCTTCATGGAGCACTGTTTTTGTTGTGATGGTGTCATGTTATGTTCAGGCACAGTAGGAAAAGTGTAGACATGATCTGACCTGACTGCCGCTGGGGATGTTGAACTGCCACTGGGGACCATTCCTATAGATAGCTGTCAGGTAAATCTGATCTCGTCAGCTTAACCTCATGGAAGAGTGGGCCTTGAGCTGATTGTGTCTCGAGGTCCACATGGAAAGGACGTAGACAGAAGATGCTCAGGGCCTGATGTGAAAACCGTGAAGAAAAGAGACATCCTTACAGGGTACCACTGTCATCAGCTCTGTTAACATTTTCCAGAATGTACTATTGTGTCAAGCTCATCCCCAAGCATCTTGTAGTTGGGAAGTCACTTTAAGTTTTTACACTAAGTCCATGAGGGAGATTTCCCTGTTTTTTAATTAAAGAAATTGAGGTAACAAGACAGTAAATTACATAGATGTGGAGCTAGAAATGCACCCCGAATGTCTGATTTCAGAGCCACTGTCTTCCCCTCTGTGTTGTCCATATGGGGCCCAGAGGAGAGGTAGCTCTTGGCCAGACTCAGGGACTCAATACGACACAAAATAAAGTCACGTCAGTATTTAATACAAGGAGTCCTGTTTGTTCATGATGATTTTTATAGAATAACAGAAAAAATATTGGCATATTTCAGTAAAAAAGTGGTGTTAAAAGGTATTTAACAGCTAATAGAACCAAAGGAAGACTGTTGATCAAATTTTTGAAAGTAGAAATAGTTGTAGTCTAGGGAGCAAGAACTCAGAAAAGCCTCTTCAAGGCCTTGACATCAGAGAGACTTAGTTTTAGCTGCCTCCTGTCTTTTAGTCATTCTGCTTAGGACAGGCCTATCTTGCCATTTGTTCCCTTTTTTCCCAGTGGGGGTTGGGAGCTGTTCATGCTAAGAACTATGCTGAGATCATGTGACATGGCAGGAAGGTGAATGTCTATAGATAACTAGAGGACTTACTTAATAGAGACCAGAGCAGAGATGTCCTTTGGTAATAAAGCACATTTAAGAGAGGACTTGGCATGTCACTCCTGAACACTTAAGATATGTTAGCTGATTTAATGTCTCTCATATCTGTGAGGTATATTCCATCATTCCCAGTTCTAATCCTTTCAGTTTCGTTATGTGACTTAAGGTGTCATATGCAGTTAGACAGATGGAGGTCCAGCTATAAGTCAGTGCTTCCCATTACCCCATGTCTCTTTCATAGAAGCCTAAAGTAATTAGAAAAAGAGCAAGTAAGCTCTGAGAAAAGGTTGTAAAATGAGAGGAATTGGGTTGATTAGAGTACAAGAAAACATGTGAACTCTTACACATTCAATAGGATGGATAAAGGAATGAAAGCAGCCTAAGATCCTTAACAGATGTTATGATTGTGGCCAGCGTATTTAGTCTCTCCAGCATCCATTCTACATCAGGGCCTGTCCTGAAGTGCCTTTTCCCTTGCGAGTGATTGTTTAAGAAATGGGCATGACACCTGAGACCATGTTGGTGTCTGAGGGCCTTACTGCCGCCAGCGTCATACTGATCTGGATGACCTGTGCTGCCACTATGGCCATGGTGATGTCTGGCCCAAGCTGCTGCCAAGGGCCATGTCTGAGTCCGTGTTCCTGCTACAGCTGGGGTCTGTGATGATGTCTATGGCCTGTGTTACCACGGGTGGGGGGGATCTTAAGAGCCATTCCAGTTGAAATCTAAGGGCCATGCTGAGCTGGTCCTGCCCCTCACTGGCCCTGGGATAGCTGGTCCTGTCCCTTTCTGGACACTGCAGCAGGAAAGCTGTCCCTGCCCTATAGATGGATTTTTCTTTTTGGGCTACCAACTCACAAAAAAATGACATGGAGACTTATTAATTATGAAAGCTTGGCCTTAGCTTAGGCTTGTTTCTAACTAGCTCTTATAACTAAATTAACCCATATTTTTTAATCTACATTCTTTCATGTGCTTGTTACCTCATTTCCATTATGTCCATCCTGGTTATTCTGCATCCAACTGGGGACTCTGTCTTTCTTCTTCCCAGAGCTCTCTCTGCCCAGAAGTCCTGCCTATACCTCCTGCCTAGCTATTGGCCATTTAGCTTTTTATTAAACCAATCACAGTGACACATCTTCACATAGTGTAAAGGAATATTCTACAACACTGCTCCCCCAAGGAAGAGCTGCCCCCCAACCCCTACTGAGCAGAGATGGCCCCACCTATCACCGCAGGTGTGGGAGAGTTGGTCCTGATGGCATGGGCCTAAGAGAGCTATCTCTGCCCCTCACCTGAGGTGGGTGGGCCCAGTGGCCTGGACTAACCAGCTCAGCTACCACCCAGACCTACATTCTGGGCCTTGGATGGCCTACCCTAACATCTACTCCATCTATGACCTGCTGGAGCATGTGAAGAGACTGGTCCTGCTGAATGATAACTGCAGGATCTCCATGACTCCAAGCAACAACAGGATGTCTGAGAGGAATTTTAGTGAGGGTCCAGTGATGATGGTGTACCAGAGGCCTTGAACCAGACCAATGACTCATTGCAATGAACATTTTGCTGGTGGGGCTGATTGGTCAAAAGGGTATACTGCATGGCACACTGTGGCTCCCAATGCCATCAGGATGAATGAAGACGTGTTGGAAAGATGGAGGAGGGAGGTGGGTTGTTTTTGTTTTTAATTAATTGGGGGTGGGGGCTTGGGGAGCATGCTGCAGGGGTGAGGAGTGGATATGGAGGAACTGGAAGGTGAATGGGATTGGGGTGTATGATGTGAAATTCCCAAAGATTCAATAAAGAATTATGTAGTTTTTTGCTCTCTCTTCTCTTTGAGGGCCTACTACCCAGCTCCCAAATAAATACACTGACGCTTATTCTTACTTATAAATGCCTGGCCTTAGCTTAGCTTGTTTCTAGCCAGTTTTTCTTAACTTAAATTATCCTGTCTACCTTTTGCCTCTGGGATTTTATCTTTCTCTATTCTATGTCTCTTTCTTCCCTTACTCCATGGCTGGCTGTGCTGCTGGGTGGTTGGCCCCTGGCATCGTCCTCTCCTTCTCCCTCTTCTCTCCTATTTGTTTTCTCTGTCTGGCAGCCCTGCCTATCCTTCTCTCCTGCCTTGCTATTGACTGCTCAGCTCTTTATTAGACCAATCAGGTGTTTTAAACAGGCAAAGTAATACAGCCTCACAGAGTTAAACAAATGCAACATAAAAAAAATGAAATACATCTTTGCATCATTAAATGTTCCACAGCATAAACAATGTAACACATCTTCAACTAATGTTCCACAACAGAATTATGTTAAAATAAAAAGCATGGGCATGAGGCAGGAGGGAGTGTCTTCTTCCTCAAGTCTTTGCTTCCTAAACATGACTCACAGAAAACCCTGGCTCCTTTTCTATTCCTCTTCTCCCCTAACTCCCAGGACTCCTCAAACTCCCTGCTGCAACAGGGAAGGTCAGTGACTAGGATTGTTGTAAAGAAGATCATTCTTGGATGCCCCCACACTGTTTGAGTCTCAAATTATGTGGTAAAATATATTTCTTTATTGTTTAAGCTAAATTGAATCACTGTTTTCAGACAATCACAACCAAAGCCATGCTGACACATTTTCTGTGCCTTATTTCATCTATAAAATGAGAGCATTGCTTTCAATGCTATCTAAGCCTCTTCTTGTATTTTAAACAAAAGTCATCATACCT